TATATATATCTATATATATCTATATATATCTATATATATCTATATATATCTATATATATCTATATAACTATATATATATATATATATATATATATATATCTATATATCTATATATATCTATATATCTATATTTCTATATATATGTATATATATATACATACCTATATAGATAGTATGTGTAGTATCTATATTTACTTTTCTATATCTAGATTTCTATATCTATATTTCTATATCTCTATCTCTATACCTATATGTTTATATCTATATTTCTATATCTATATTTATACCTATATCTACATCTATATCTATATTTTTATATCTATATTTCTATATCTATATTACTATATCTCTATCTCTGTCTCTATCTCTATGTCTATTTCTATCTCTATCTCTATGTCTATCTCTCTGTATCTATATCATTCAAACTACTCATACTAGCATGTACTGTTAAGTTGTTGCTGTGTACGACTCCTACATTGTTACATTGCTTTTTTTGTTCAAGTATGCATGTGTTCATTCATGTATTCATGCATGCATTCATGCATGTATGTATGTACGTATGTAAGTATGTATGCGTGCATGTATGCAGGTATGTATGCATGCATGCATGCCACTGCTCTTCAAATATCATTGGCAGTAGATACTTGCCGCCGTGATGTTGTAAGACTACTTTGCTTTCATGGTTCTACTGCGATGTCAAGCTTGTTTGTGCTCTCTTCACGCGCTAAAGTGTGTCCTACCGCCCCCGTGCTGTATACTCGCATGAGACGGTATCTTCTACGGCCATATGGCTCATAGTATCCTACCGTAGAGTTGGCATCTTGCCAATGGGTCCCACTTGCTGCCACATGCCTCCCTAAACTCCAAATCCTGAATGTCGGACAGCTGAAAGTATGCTCGACCCGAAATCCCCAAAGCCGGGGTGAAAAAAAACCCAAATGCACACAAAGGTCCGGAAGCCTGCGTCCCGGGCCAACACTCGAAGGCTGCGCCAACCTGGTTCCCCAAGCTCCGGACGATTTTCGATATCAGCCCAGACGGGATGGTGTAAGTTGACCTTGCTATCACTCAACTGGACAATAAACATTTTTCGGAGAAACCCGCACTAGGAACATCGCAGTTCCATCTCGCAGGAACCCAAAGTGAAAAGCTTTGGGCCATCTCATGTTCAAAACACGAATCATGGTGGAAGTATGTTCCTATGTAGCTACAGGGTCATGAAGAGGGCGTGCTCAAAGCACCGTGCTGGATTTAGTCTCAGTTGTTTTAATGCAGGGACTGTGCGGCAAGCAAACCTTGCTAAAAAGGACTGTGCTGTGGCCTGCATCTTCCTGAACCCGACAACCCAAATCCGGCAAGGACGATGTAACTAGGAAAGAACCGTGGGGCGTTGGCATTCTCCCACATGCTCACACTGAGCTCTGAAATATGCAAGATCCTGTAATACTGTAAGCTGACATTTGTTGCAGTAATCCTCTTGTGATACCCTCAGGAGGATCGGTTATGCACTTGATTTGGACAGTGTTAACCCACGGATCGCACATGCAGAACGAAGCCCTCAGCTCCTAAGGCTGCCGCACGCGATGAACGAAAGCTCCAGAAACTCTTTGTTGGACCCCAAGTCTGGAGGCCCTCCGTCTCAAACCTCGTGCAAGCGGCCACAGTGCAATCTTCTCTGACTCGCGAAAGGATCGCCCAGTGACATGCGGACAGCTTCCAAATACGACGGCATCGAGCTCTGCCTTTGGATGCGTTTCGGCTCGTGGGTTCGCGAGTCCAAGGAGGGCAAGGGATTTCTGAGTTGTCACCGAAACGATCTCCACACTCTTCAAGCGTCTCCGGACAGCATTATGAGTGCGAGAGGACGGGCGACGCAACCGGGCGAAGTCCATGCATGCACGGGCATCGTCTCGAAACTGCGAGCCCGAAAGCCTCAAGATGCACCTTAAGATCCAAGCATACTTTGCGTCAAGTCAGCATCGCAGCAACCAAGCAAAATTCTGATGCAAAAGTTTGGTTAATATGTTCTTTGGGCAGCTTTGAGCACCCGTCCAAACTCGTCAGCGTCTCTACGTTTGGGCTCAGGTTTTGGTTTCCAAAACCCTGAAGCCCTCAACCTTTCCACAAATCATCCAGACATTTTGAGCAAAAAGCGTCGACAGTCGGAATGAGAATCCGACTACCGATAATTTCGCTGCCACTACAGACCATGGAGCCCAGACTGTAGTCTGAAAAACTGAAGGGAGCAGCAATTTATAGGAACTTCCGCATATTGCCCTTCCTTTTTCTCACGGCTTCTGAACCTTCGGAAACCTGCCTTCAGCATCAACGCCTGCATTCCAGCAGGAGGTACTGCTTATGAACCGGTAAAGACCATAGAGACGGCACTTGGCCCTCTTGCCATCAAGCACTCAAAGCCCTTGCTACCCCAAACCTCAAACCTCCAAGCCAGTCAAACCCTACGGTTACGCCCTAAATCCTAAACCTCCCAAACACTCTAAACCCCCTAAACCCTAAACCTTCTGTCCTCAACCTCCAAACCCTCTATACCCTAAACCCTAAACCCTAAACCCTACCATAACCCAAACAAGGCCATAAGCCTCGAAACCCCAAAGCTTAGAGCACCCGGAGCTTTGCGCCTCAGGATCCAGAGCATTCAGGGCGACCACCCCTGGCCCCGGGAGGTACCGCTACATGGGTTTAGGGCTTAGGGTCCTAGGTTCTAGGGTTTAGGGTTTAGGGTTTAGGTTCTAGGGTTTAGGGTTTAGGGTTTAGGGTTACATGGGGGCCTGAATGACTAGAACAGTGGTTCCTTAGAGATGGGTTGTTAGCCGTTAGGGTTTTGGAGGCCTGAAATGATGAGACTAGGCTTCCTTAGAAAAGCTGCTGAACGGGTTCGGTATCGGGGCCTGCATCTTAGAAATAAGGGGGTGGTTGGTACGAAGTAATAACAAGAAGGGTTCAGGCCGGGTGAGGGTTGAGGGCTTTCCGGTTGTGGTTTATGGCTTGGGGTTTAGGGTTTAGGGCTTGCGGTGCTCAGGATTGCTGGTTTACTGTGCAGGACCGAACGTTTATGCACTGGGATATGTCCTAAGGGACACCCCGTAAACAGGCAGCCACAACTGACGCCCTCGGACAGCAAGCGCCTCTAGCGTCCTGTTTATGCCTTTTTTTTAGACCCAGAGCCCATCCGGAAAAGAGCCCGTGAAACCCCTTTACGGAGAGCCTTGGAAGCCCTGCTTCGGCCCACCAAACTCCTCCTCGAGACCCCTGTAAGACTCCCCAGAAGGCAGATGGTGTCTGCGCACGTTGACGCGCAGCTACAAAGCGCTCCGAAAACACCCCCGGCCGCCTTGGATCCAGGTGCATCCGGTGCTCTCACCGCCAATCAAGACCTCATTGACAGGCTAAAAAGCAGATCTTCAGCCCTAAACCCTAAACCCTAAACCCTAAACCCTAAACCAAACCCTAAACCCTAAACCCTCGTACAAGCCAGCCAACACCCTGAAGAACCGCAAACCCTCGGCTCCCAGGCCCCTCTCTCGGCTTCTCTGCCTCTTCTAAGTCGGGCCCGTAGCTTAGGGTTTAGGGTTTAGGGTTTAGGGTATATAGGGTTTAGGAGTTCAGGGTTTAGGAGTTCAGGGTTTAGGAGGGTCTGTAGCTTAGGGGCCCGAGCTCAGGGGCCCCAAAAGGCCTCCGAGGCTTTTTGAGGCCCTCTGAGAACCCTCCTCCCTGGGGGTTGTCTTCGCCATTTCTGTGGTTCGTGCGCTTTCCAGGGCTATCTACGTAACATTCGGGCGCATGCCAATCACCGAAAACCACTGCGAAAAGTCCCTCCCTCAAGCCGTCCACGGCTTCAAAAACACCGAACCTCCAAACCCATCGGTGGAACCCTGTCAGAGTCAGACAATTGACAAAATACCGGAGAAACCCCCAAAGCTCAGCCCTCCTCAGCCCTCTGAGCCTAAAACCCGAAAATAAACCCTGAAACCCTAAGACGACCCTAAACCCTATAACCCTAAAACCCTAAAACCCTACCACCCCAAAACCCCAAAACCCTCAACCCCCCCTCCCTTAAAAAGGCTTCAAATTTCAAACCCCCCCCTTCCGTTTCCTTTTTGAAACACCCCCCAGGGCCTGGTCCGTGTGGTCCCACTCCGACCGCTTCCCGAGCTTCGAGACGGGACGGCCAAAGGTGAAACCTTGCGGCGGTTTTGGGCTTCAGGGTTTAGGGGTTTTAGGGCTTGGGTTTTAGGGCTTAGGGTCTAGGGCTCAGAAAGGAAAAGGACGGCCAAAGGTGAAACCTTGATATGGAGTCCGGCTCAGGGATTCAGCACTCACTGCTAACCCCAAAACCCGAAACCCTTAGCCTTCTGCATGTTAAAGAGACCTTGCTGCGGTTTTAGGGTTTTTTGGGCTTTTTGGTGGTTTTTAGGATTTTAGTTTCGGGTTGTCTAGGGGTTCAGGGTTTTAGGGGTTTTAGGGTTTTAGGGCTTTGGGGTTTTAGGGTTCTGGGGCTTTAGGGGTTTTAGGGCTTTGGGGTTTTTTGGGTTTTAGGGTTTTGGTGTTTTGGGGTTTTAGGGTTTTAGGGCTTAGGGGTGTTAGGGCTTTTGGGGTTTTCGGGGCTTTGGTGTTTTAGGGCTTTGGGGTTTTCGGGCTTTTAGGGTTTTAGGGCTTTGGGGCTTTAGGGCTTTGGGGTTTTAGGGTTTAGAGTTTACTCCACCCCGGGGCACTTTAAGAGGGGAGCTATGCTGAAGAAAAGCATCGCTTCTCCCTGTTGGTGCAAAAAGTGTGGCAGTCTATACATGCGATCTATCGAGATCTATCTCGACGCATCTACCCGCCTGTGTTGAAGCTCCACAGTCGTTCACTGCAGTTCGATCATTTCTGGCTCAGTTACCTTACACCTCGTTGACACAAGTTGGATAGTGGCCAGTAGTTTCTGAAATCTCGCGACGGCTACGCCTAAGACCCGAAAACAAATCCAAATCTGAAAAATACCCTTCAAATGTAAGTTAAGGACCTGAATAATTAGGACAGGGCCTTTTGCGGGCACATTACATGATGACGATATGCACGGGCTTCAGGGACATACTCTTGCACATTGTTCCCGACCTCCAGATGAAACTCCGAGCGCTGCCGCGCTTGCAAGGCATCCCCTAGTATTAGGGTTTAGGGTTTAGGGTTTAATTGGTTTTCTAAGCCCAAAAGAATCCGTTCTCGCACCCTCGGCTTCGCACAGGGCCGTAAGACTATCCAGCTTTTCATTCGCAAGATGTTACTATCATCAATACCACGACTACATTTTGGGGGGACAATCACTTCTCTTGCCGCTGTTCTTCAAGTTGTGCCGCGGCTGCTCCTTGTCTGCAGCGTTTGAACAGAACTCTCAGCCCGAACTCCTGGCTTCTGAAGACTCTAAACCCAATCTACAAACCTTGAGGCTTAGGGTTTATTTTTTAGGGCTTAGGTTTTAGGGTTTAGGGTTTAGGGTCTGAACCCCAATCACCCAACTCTCCAAAACCCTAAAGCCCTAGCCTCTGAACCGCCAGAGCCCCCGACACAACTTTTGGTGTCCTTTTTGTTCGAGGAGCCGTCCCAGCTGGCATGGTGCGGCCGGTCGGCGTAGATGCCACGTTCCACCAGGCGACGGCGGAAGAGAAGCCGCTCCTGCTAGGGGCTCTTTGGGCCAACTTTAGGGTTTAGGGTTTAGGGCTTCAGGGCTTTAGGGGTTTAGGGTCTTAGGGTTTCAGGGTTTTAGGGTTTAGGGTTTAGGGCTTAGGCTTATAGGGTTTTAGGGTTTAGGGTTTAGTAGTAAAGTTAGGCAAGCTGCTAGGCCCTAGGCGGTCTCGTTGCATACCCGCCCCTTGGAAACTCAATGGTCCGCTATGAAAGCTCCACGCCCTGCACCCGAAAATGGCGAAGGCCTCAAGCACGAACCTGGAACCCTAACACCTGAAACGCAGACACACACACACACACACACACCCACACACAACCCTAAACCCTAAACCCCAAACCCCTAAAACCCTAAACCCTAAACCCCTAAACTCCTAAACCCCTAACCCCTAAAGCCCCCTGAACCCTAAACACCCTCTAAATGAAACGGCCCGAACCTCCCAGAGCACCCAGCCGGCACCTAGAAGTTGGCAGAGGCCTCGGCGGTTCGACGGTTTAGGGTTTAGGGGTTTAGGGTTTAGGGTTTAGGGTTTAGGGGTTTAGGGTTTAGGGTTTAGGGTTTAGGGTCTAGGGTTTAGGGTTTAGGGTTTAGGGTTTACAAACCACGCCATGTCTGCATTTTCCGCATCTACGTGCAGATGCATGCACATACTGTGGCACGCACACACACACACACATAGATGCATGCATGCATATACATATACACCTGATCTACATCCTTCCATGCATGCATACATGCATACATCCATGAAGGCAGGCAACACTGGCAGGGGTGAATGTGTGCGTGGGTGTTTGTGTGTGTGTGTGTGTATACAAGATTCTCTGGCATGCTTGCATATGCATGATACTACACTGTGGTTCAGTAGTAGTATACATGACAAGACATTAACCCTGAACTGCACTACACTACAATGCGGTACATTACATTACATTGCATTGCATTACACTACCTTTACACTACATTCCATGGCAATACATTGCCTGACATGGCATGACATGACATGACATTGCAGTCAGATGTACTTATGTACTTCCGGAGCTAAGCGTTGCTTCCTTCCTTCCTTACTTCTTTCCTTCCTTCCTTACTTCGTTACCTACTTATTTGATGCTTACGTACGTGCTTGCTGCCCTGCCTTCCTGCCTGCCTGCCTGCCTGCCTGCTATCTATACAATATGGAGCCTGCTTGACGGGTACTATGAGTGCACCCTGCTGGCACATAGGCAGAAACATAGAAGGTCGGACGAACGGAGAGAGACAAACACCCACACAGACAATGGCGGCCCTGCGTAACACTACAGTAAAACCCGAGCCACCATCGCACCTGAGCACACCCCCTACCTAAACCCTAAACCCTAAACTTTAAAGCCTAAACCCTAAACCCTACCGACAAGTTCTCACGAACCTTGGCGTACCCGGCGATCCGAGCGGCACTTGCCCCTTGCGAAGGCTCCCCAGTTCTCGGCCGTCCAGGTGGACTCCTCGGACTTCGGGGGAGCTCCGTCGGCTCAAAGTTTAGGACTAAAGTTTAGGAGCTCTTTGGGTCCCTATACTAAAGTTTAGGAGCTCTTTGAGACCCTATATAGGGGCTCTGAGGGCCTCGGGAGGGCCTTCCTTGCTGTGGAGGCTTAGCGCTGCGTGCTTGGAGTCACGCAGGGCTTGGGGAGCCGTGACCGGGGGGAGATCTCAATTTTCAAGCCCTCAGCCCCCGAGTGCGACTGCGACGAGCCGCGTCCGCGGCCTTCAGCGAAGGGCAGCGGCCCTCCACAAAGCCCCAGATCTTGTCCACGGCCGCGTCGCCTCCCCACAAATCCATCTGAACGCTTTAGGCCATGTTCCAACTTTGATAGACCTCCTAAACCTACGGCTTTTTTTTTCACACCGCTGCTCTTCGATCCCTCGACCTACAACCCTGCTGAACCCCCAGCACCGGAAGCAGAAAATCAACTCAGAGATCTTGAAGTTCCTCTTGACAGCAGCTCCAGAACCCTCATTACCCGAAGAGACCCCAGGCCCCCAAAACCCCAAGCCCCCACCCTCCAAAACCCCAGCTATTCCTAGCGAACTCCGCAGGTGGCTGTTTTTGTAGTGTCTAGACCGAGTTGCTATAGGACCAAGTGAGCCCTGAGATGGATCAGAGTCCGATTTTACCGAGGCTGTTCAGGCTTGACGGTTACCGATACTTGTTGCTCTGGTACAACTGCCGGACTTCACAGAAAGCTGACCGGGGAACAGAACAAGGTAGTCAGGAAACCTACATGACCTACACTTCTCGAAGGGCATGCGCCGGCATGCTGCAACTAAGTTGCTCGTAAGGCTCAGGTGGAGCCTAGCAGCCTAGCATTCACCTGTCCGCCGAACCCCGGAACCCCAAGCGGCTCAGCGGTGATCGGGAGTCAGAGCCCGAACCCTCAACCTTTCGGGGCTTAAAGGTCAGAGTTTGGGATGGCCTAACTTAAAAGTCCTTTAGGGTTTTGGGACTTTAGGGTTCAGGGTTTAGGTTTAGGGACTTTAGGGTTTAGGGTTTAGGGTTTAGGGTTTAGGGACTTTAGGGTTTAGGGTTTAGCCGCAGGCCGAAGGCACACTCCGCTTCCGAGAAGACATTCCGCACCACGGCGTAGCCCTGCTTCACGACCCCTGCAAGCCAGGACTTCTCGAGCTCGGGCTTGGCAGGCAATTTTCCAGAGAGCCCGATGTACTCCTTAATTAGAGGGCCCCTTAAAGGGATCTATAAGGGTTAGGGTTCTATAAGGGTTCTATAAGGGAATTAAGGAATATATACCTTAAACTACTGGGGCCTTAAGATTATGATGTAAGGTATAGTCCTTACTTAAGGGGTTATTTGGGGCTGTCTGGGTTCAAGCCCGAAGAGAGCTTTAGACCTTGTAGAGGTTTCGGAGAGGGCTTCTTTATAGGGAGAGGTTTAGACATTATAAAGGCTGTTGAGAGGGCTTCTTTATAGGGCTTTCTAGAAGCTTTCAGAATAAGGGTCTTTAGGGGGTTAGTATGGGCTGGGGTAGCTCGGATTTGAAGGGGATGGTATGACTTGTTATGCAGAGCCCCATGGTATTAGGGCTTTGACTTTTCGATTCAGGCGCTGAGATGTGGACTTTTGGATGGCCATGTGCTTGAGGGCTTCCGCTTATGGAGAAGAACGCCGTGTTTAGGGACTTCTGAGTTCTCTGGCTTCCTGTGTCTTGCTGGGGGACCGGACTGATGTCTCCGTATAGTTCACTTGCGTCTTGCTTGGGCCTTGCCCAGAGGGCCCAAATAACCCCTTATTTAAGGAACATACCTTAAATTACATAATATTAAGGCCCCTATAATTTAAGGTAGATTCCTTATTTAAGGGGTATTGGGCTCTGTGGGTGTTTGATGCTGCGTGGGCTCAGAGCGATCAGGAAATTACTACAAGTCGAGAACTCAGACAGGCCCGGGCCTAGACCTAGACCCACCTTGAAGCAAGCAGGACAGCTCGCACTTACAGCTCCATTTTATGGCCGGTGTGGCCTCCGAATGCTTCAATAATTTATGGTAGTTTCGCATCATCTCCCAAGTAACTTGGCGTTGACCTCGCGGGATACCCCCCAAATCCCCCGATCGAGGGCCAAGCGGATCTCAAGAAGTTCAGAAGCTTCCCCACGTCACCACCGATCCGTCGTGACGCAAGGCGGCGAAGGCCTTGCTGCTGGCCTGGATCTGGTGGACGCCCCTCAGCTGCGAGGCCACGGCACTGCTGTCACCACCATCCCGTGGGCTTCCCCAGGAGACCACGGAAGCATCCGAAAGCAGCGCGGCGAAGGCAAAGCGCGTCGCCTGGATCTGCTCTACTCCTCTCAGCCTTTCCTGAACCTCGCTGCTGTCACCGCCGGCAGCAGGAAAGCCCCAGGTCACCACAGATCCATCTTGACATACGGCAGCAAAGGCAGAATCCGTACTTTGGATCCTTTCCACACGTCTCAGCTTCTCGGCGACAGCGCGGCTGTCACCTCCAGAACGAAGGTCACCCCAAGAAACCACCGAGCCGTCTCCACGAATCGCAGCAAAGGCCGAGCGGGTTGCCTGAATACTCCGGACATCCCTCAGCTGCTCCGAAACGCTGCGGCTGTCGCCACCTTCCGCCGAGAATCCCCAGGTCACCACGTGGCCATCAGCCAGAATCGCCGCGAACGCGGATCCGGTGCTTTGGATCGCCTTCGCAGCCCTCAGCTGCTCCTCCACTTCCCGGCAGTCTCCTCCGCACCAAGCTTTCCCCCAAGCAACCACGGCACCGGTTTCCAGGATGGCGGCGAAAGCAGTTCCTGTCTGCTTGGGCCGGACGCAGTGCTAGGCTAGAGGCTTATGCTGTGGTGAGGGCGGACCAACGCTAAAAAGCAAAAGTTACCGAAGCATCTGAAGATCCAGTGGACTGCAGGTGCCGCACGCCGTGGAGATGTGTCTGCACATCGCTGATGTCTGCACCACTCGCGAAGTCTCCCACGGTCCGAACGCTTCCATCCCGCAAGAGGGCTGCAAAGGTGGCTCCGTTACCTGCGAACTTCATGTGAGATGAAGCCTAACCTTGAAAATATGTAATGTACGGGTTACGCTTATAGACCTTAGCACACTCAAAGGCAGTTCAACAGCGGTGCAGCTCCAAGCTGCGTTGGACGCAGGACACATTGGCAAAAGCACAGAGAACGCCACGGAAGTTTGCCAGTGCCCCGGCTCCCTTGAAGACTCCCCAGACATCAAGGGATCCATCGCGGTGGAGAGCCGCAAAAGCTGTTTCTGTGGACTGGATGCATTCTACTGCGCTTCCCTTATCGATACCACCCTTCTCGCGGCCCCAAGCTACCACAGAGCCATCAGCAAGGAGGGCCGCAAAGGCGGCATCAGTAGCTTGAATACATTGGACATTCCTAAGCTTGTCCTGAACTTCGCTGCAGTCTCCGCCAAATTTGGGGTTGCCCCACGTCACCACTGACCCATCTCCCTGGATGGCCGCGAAGGCGTGCTGCGTTGCTGCCACGGCCGCAGGCCTCGTATAGAGCATCAGCCGGTCGCCGGTTTGGAGGCCGACCTGGGACAGGCTCATCTCTCCTTCGATCTCCGCTCCAGACTCCAAAAGCCTCAGCCTTCCCTTCGTGCTCCTGGGCTCTTGTTAGGGGATTTAGCTTTAAGTTACCATAATAGGGATCTACAGTAACTAATATGGTTTCCTTATTATGGTAACTTAAATTAAATCCCTATCAAACCCTAAACCCTAAACCCCTAAACCCTAAAAGCCCCAAACCCTTAACTAATATGGCTTCCTTATTATGGAATCCAGGCTCAGGGCAGCCTGCGCACGGAGCCTCAGCTCTTCAACCGAGGTCTCGGGCGCCAGCCCAAGGTGGACTTCGCGCCCGCTGAGAAGCGCGACCGAGAGGCACATGGACATGGTTTAGGGCTCTAGGGTTCAGGG